ATCTTGCCCTGGCCCAGCCGTGTACGAATCTGGAATGGAATTTTTCCAGTGAATTCCAGGATTCCACTTTCTGCAACTGTGGCTTAAAGGTTGGCCTATTTCGACGGGGAGTGGGAAAAGAAAGGGGGCTCCAGAACCGGAAGCTTCTCAAACTAGCATCTTACAGGAAGGCAATTCTTGACCAACATCCCTTATTCCGAAGCAAGCCTCCCCTCAGTTTAAGGTACAATGGCTGGATCATTTGGGAATGTCCTCCTTTTGCGCCGCGCCCTTATTGCAAGCGTAAGAGGTCAACACTAGAAGCCTAAGGCCACAGAAGGCCGAGGGCAATCGATTCCAGATCTCCTTGGTCAGATTAATGCATTGGACGTGGACTAATCTGCGAACATGGGGAAGTGGAGACCATTCATCGTAGACTAGCTTTTTCTGAGCGTGAATCGTGAGGTTCGGCCTCCTGTGCGGCATTCTAATGAGTGTGGCCGGGCTTGAACCTCAGTGGTCTTCCAGTCCATCCTAGTTACGGTGAAGTCAAAACAGCGTGAACGCAAACCCGGCAGAATCAGTCATCTCTTTAAAAAGTGCTGAGCTTGAAGCAGAACACCACCCTCCACATCCCCCCCCACACTTGGAAAGCCCACGTGGATTCAGCGCTATCAGAATGCAGGGCGGCGCTTGCAACGTTTTTCTGTGGCGAGTTCTTCTCGGGCGGTGAAAGGCCAGCAGGCGACCCGGAATTGCCACGGTTGAGCTTTAAGTCAGTGGGAGTAACCAGCCAATGGCATTCAACAACGCAAGCAAACTCGTTCGGACGATCCTGACTTTTCGTAATATATCTCAGAAAGTTAGCCTGACAGATGTCTAGTATTGCAGTGGCTAGTACTGAGCATTCTGCTTTGTATACATATACACATACATACTTACATATACATACATACATATATATATATATATACATATCTCTGTGTGTGTCTGTTGGAAGATGTTGAAGACACAGCGAAACTGTAAGCTGGACAGTCAACATAACATTTGCGTACGTATTTAGTTGCATGCATAATGCACGCATATCTCCACCCATTGGATATACAGTTGTGATATACCAACCTAGTAGCTAAGTATGCTATCAACTTATACATTAGGTGGACCCCCCCGCCCTGTAATAGTGGTATAATAGGACCCTGATCTAATCACTATTATCGCTCATAGTGGCTATTACAGGGTTGGGGGTCATCCTAACTTATCTGTAGTCTCCTTAGGATTATTCTCATTCTTATCATAATATGACCCTAGGGAAGTATTAGAAATACTGTTTTTGCTATAGGTCTCAGGAGACTACAGCTATACACGCAGATGATCACTTCCCAGGCTGCCCGGCTCCTCGCCAACGTGGCCGCGTCAGGAACTTGGAGTCAGAGAAGTAAGCACCTGCTTGAGGATGTCAGCATATCCTCTGGGGTTTAGGTTTTAGGGGTTTAGGGCTAAGTTTCATGGGGATTGTGTACAGAGAAAAAAAAACAGGGCCCAGCTGCCAGGGCTGCTCATTCTCGATTTTGGGATGTCGGGCTTACGGATTCAGGACCCTATCTATGTTGTCCTCAACATCGTTATCGTTACGGGTACTTGAATTTCTGAATGAGGATTTTAGTGATTCCAACCCCCTTTAGATTATTGGCTATATTTTGGGGGGTTGGGCTTACTGAGCTCCCCTTCACTGGCAAAAATGGATCCTTGTATAACTTCATGCATTTTTTCTATTGGATTCTCCGTTCTGACCGTTCCTCAGCAAGACTATTATTGCTGTCCGTGATGTTACTACTGCTGTCTTTTTAAGATTATGATTGTCTGACTCTTTCTCAGGGCTACCCTGACTCTGCAATGCACAGGTCCGCCCTTGCCTACACCGCCCGCTGAGCCCTTAGCGTGTGGGTTTTTGTTGATTTAAACGGGTGCTTCAAACAACAAAAGGGGCCCCCTTGTTGTAGTCTCCGTGATCAATATTGAATATTGGGCCTCGTATTGGTAGAAACGCCCTTATACCACCCCAAGAAGTCGGTTTTCTCAGTGCACGGACTGAGGTGCCATAGATGCTGCCGTGGATTGTGCCGAGGGCAAGTCTGCCATCAGCAGCACCAGGCCTCCTTGGGAGTTTCTCCTATTACTATTACTATTTCTATTACTATTACTATTTCTATTTCTATTACTATTACTGTTACTGTTACTGTTATTATCATTAATACTATTACTGTTATTATTACACAGAATTATGGGCCCCGTTTTGGTAGCCCCCCTCCCACACTGAAATACGGATAATCTATGGCTGTGAGGGGCGGACCCTGGTGTTGAGGAACCACCGACTTGTGGGCATCATCCCACACCTGGGCCCTGAGTCCCCGACCTTAGACATCCTTCGGCCCTACAAACCCCCGGAACAGACCGTGCCTGCTGAGTGTGATGCGCGTGCCTAAACCCTAAGCCGCCCTGCCAGTGATTTCCTCCGGTCCAAGTTCGTCAGCAGCTTCTGCGGAGCGTTGTCCGCCTTCTCGGGCACCATAGGCCCGCAGGGGAGCTTCCGCAAACCTATCACAAAGCGCAGGATAATTTAGGATGCATACCGCCCCTCACCTTGATTGCAGGGGACATTGCTGATGTACAATTCGGGTCGGCTGCTGAAGACAGCATCCTCGACACAGTTGCCAATGAGGCAGGAGAGCACTCCGACCCCTTCCCCAACCCGGATCTTTGCCTGACTGCAGGCGCCCAGCAAACGGCGGTCGCAGCTGCAGGACCTCTCCCGGATGTTGGGACCTCTGGAATTTTCAGGCTTCTTTCTCGCAGCACCATGATGAGTCGGGGTTCGGTCATGCTCATTCCAAGCCGTGCTGTTGATTGACAATCGTCGTCATCCTCTTGACCACGAAGTCGTGGGTGGTATCAAGGGAATCCTCCTCACCCCTCCATTGTCACTACGTCACCACACCCCTCCCAATACATCATGGTTTCCATTCTAATTTTCCATGTTCGTCTCCAGTGAATTCTCCATTAGAGGCGTGTTATCCCGAAATCCCCTGGCTTAGGCCCCCACCCACTAGTAGTGGTATACTAGGAATACATAGAGACCCAATATAACTACCATCATATATCCCTGGTGGTCACTACTGGTGGGTGGGGGCCCAACCCCTAAGCCCTAATCCCAAACCCCTAAACTCCCTAAACCCTGAAACCCTAAACCCTAAAACCCTAAAACCCTAAAACCCTAAACCCTAAAACCCTAAACCCTAAAACCCTAAACCCTAAAACCCTAATCCCTAGCAACATGATGGAATCTGACTTGTTTTACCAGGCCCGGACTCTACAACTTTGCTCTGCACTGGGCATGGGACTAAGAAAGCAATTGTAGCTGTGCTTATACTGGGTTGCCCTTAAGCAGCTTAGCTTAAGTTACTATGTTGGGGAAACCATATTAACTACTATGCCTATATATGCTCATTATGGTGCAGTAACTTCAGTTCCTTGACAGCAACCCAGTATAAATGGAGTTGCGGATTGCTTGCGCAGCTATCCGCATGCGGCTTTACCCCAAAGTTGAAGCTGATCCTGCAGGATTCTAATTGCTTCTGAGCAAGATCTGGTGGTTTGTCAAGACTCATATTAGGGTTATGTTGGGATAGTGCAAAATCAAATGGAAACTACTATATGGGGTTATATCTTTTGAGATTACCAATTCATTGTGGCCCTAATACACAAGGTACCCAGGAAGAGGCCATCATCTTGACGACCCCCCCAATCTGTAAGGTCTTGACGCTCCTGGTAATGTGGGGCTGCGCTCGGTTCGAGACGTGGCCGCGCGTTTGGCGCTGAGCCTCCAGAAGCTTGAATCCTCGTCTCACCTTTCTGTAGGATTATTTCGGGGTTATATAAGGTTACTTAAGGGGCTGCGCCCAGGG